GTAAGGGTTCAGGATCTGGTAAATAAGTTTCATGTGTGTATTGTCTAGAGGGTAGCCAAATTTCATCGTATATAGATGAGATTATTGTATGATGTAGTAGTGAAGTGAATTTTTTTATTTGTGTTATATTTTCAAATGGAGCTATAGTATCTTCTGTAATAAATCCAATAGAATAGCTTCTGACTAGATGTAGTACTTTGTAGTTATGTATGAAGTTGTCCATACTAATTATGTTACTTTTTGTTTCTCTGCTTATTTTTTGAATAGCCTGCTGAATCAGTGTTTTCAGTCTGATTTGATTGCATAGACAAGTAATAATATGAGAGAAATCTTCGGGTACTGCACGACAGTATGAACAGAGGTAGTTTTTGTATTTTGTTGGATTATGGTGATGTTTGGTAAGATGTGTTGGTAGTTTATTGGCTAAAATTTTTATTTTAAAATTTTTTAAGGTAGCAAGATGCCAGCTTGTGTTTAGAGAAAGAGGTGCTTTGCTATATATTAGATATTCTGTTGTATAGCTTCAGTTGATATCATTTATTGTTGAGGACTATTGCATAATTCAGTTTTAGTTTACCTATTTGAAACAGTTTTGTATGTCTATAATTACTTTAAGTATTGTTTTAGTATTATGTAAACATGGTGTTTGTAAGAGTTGTAAGGTAAACTGGTTGTAAAGAAATTTGTTTATACAAATATCTAATGCGAAGGTACTACTAGGTAAATCTCTAATTTCTAAGTCTTTATTATATTCTACTTGAATAGTAAAGTTTGCTGAAAGTGTCTTTAATATTAGGAGTACTAGTACATAATTCTGTTTGCTTAGACTGAAGAAGTTGTATAAGTGAATATTAGATAGCTGAGATATAACTTCCTCTAATCTTAATTGTTTGGTTTTAATTACAATTGGTATATTCAATAGTAGTGTAGTAACTATGTAGATAAATGATGTTATTATGATATTAATTTGCAAGAGCTACTTTGTATTATAACACTGCTATGTTGTTTTTGAATGTGAAAATTTGCATAGTGAAAGTGTTTAGTTTGTATCAACATCCTTTTTTGTGGTAATAGAAACCTCTACTCTATATTGTAGAAAATTTTCTTTCATTAATTGTTCCTAGTGTATTCTTGAGATTATTTTAAATGCACAAAGAAATCTAGATTATATTGTCTGTTGCAGAGTTTTCTCACTATTTCTGTTTTTAGTTGTTTTAAGTATATTTTGTATGTCTAACAGGTTAGCATGTATTTTAAGCTTGCTATCTACTTGCAGCTTAAATACTTTTGTTTGATCTGTTAATATTGTGAAGTAGCATCCTTTTCTTTTAAAATTATGGCCTTTTAGTTTACAGCTTTTACAAGCTGTTACACTATTGTTTTGTTGTAATATATAGTATCGAATTGGAGGTTGGTTGGCTTTAGAATTAATATGACCAATTGTTAAATTATTTGTGATGATCTATTTGGCTTTAGATAGCTCTATCTCACAGAGTGTAAATAGGTTAGGGGTTATGTAGTCTATTGAAGGATTTGCTAATTCAGTAATTAGATCTCCAATTCTTGAAAACTATTTGGAAGCTGGGCCTCGCAGAATTTTTTGTATATTGTGATGAAAGCTTATCCATTTAAGTAAGTTTGAATTGTCTGAATTTAAAAACTGCTCAATACAGGATATATTATACGTGTTTAGCTATTCTTTAAGTTTGCCTGCATCTGGAGTTCCTGCTAGTATATAGTCGATTGAGGTACCTAGAAGATTAATAGGAATAGGCCAATTGTTAAATTCACGATTAATTTGTAAGTTAAGTTTATGAAATGCAATTATAGCCTGTTTAGTATGTGTTCGATGTTGCTGCTTTAGAAGTATTAGTAGATGTATAAGTATAGAGTTGTTTGTATAAGCAGTATTTTGAAGTTGTTGTAGTCAGTATTTTAGAAATAAAGAGTCAAAGTCTAATTGATTTAATGCTTTTATTAGATTAGCTGCTAGATGTGTTGCTTGAGTTTGTCAAAGATCTTTTAAGGCATATATGTCAGGATTAAAAAAGAAGGAGTTTGGCATAGAGCAGACGATCTTGGTCTTATGTCTTACTATGCTTGTATATTGCCTTATAATATGTATGAGTTGAGTTGGAGTAAGATAAACACTGTTTAGCCTATACATTAATCTAGGAATTATTACATTATTAATAATATAAATTGCTTGTTTCTCTGTAATTTGTACAAACTGCATCAACTTTAGACTGTTCTTTGCTTCTGTTAGTATCTTTTTTTGGACTATTAGTAGATTTCTATTTTGAATAAACTAAGAACCTAGGTATTTAAGTGGAGTATATTTGTCATTCGCAGTAATTATCTGGTCTTGAAAGATAATTTCTTTGGCTTTAACAGATGAGTTCATAATTAATATTGATTTTGATAGATTTATCTTTATATTAGTGAGTTTGTAAAATGAGTCTGCTGTTTGGAGGATTTCTAGAAGAGTCTGTTTATTTTGTGCAAGCCAGAGTGAAACATCTATATATGTTAAAGTTGAGATATGGGAGGCTCCACAGCAAAAAGTGGTGATGGGTCAAAAAAAAAAATTTTAGTAAAAACTTTGTTTTTGCAAAAATTAGATTATTTAGAACATAATATCAAAAAACTACAAAAAAATTTTTTTTGGCCCATCACCACCTTTTGCTGTGGAGCCTCCCATATGTAATTTTTTTGAATCTGAAGCAGTATAAATCATTGCGTTGTAACCTATATGCTAGTTGTGAACTTTGTATACTAAAGGGTCATAGTATATCCTCCAAAGTAGAGGTGAGAAGGTCTCATCCTAATCTATTCCATCTTCTATATCATACGGCTAAGTAAAACCTTGATCAGTAATAACTTGATTTGTTCGATTGTTTAAGATAAATAAGAGGATTTTAATAATTTTTTTTAGGAGTTGAATTCTATTAAATGCTTTTTCGAATGTTGGTATGTGTATAGAGTCAAAGGCTTTTGACATGTCTTGTGAAAGTAACCAGTACTCTTGTTTTGTTATTAAGACATCCTCCATTATATTCATGAGATGTTGTATAGGTTATAAGATTAATTGGTGTGGTAATGCTACAAAGTTGTATGGTGATAGTACTGAATTTCTAGCTAAAATCTCTGTTAGATGTTTTGTAACCATTTTGGTAAAGATTTTTCTAGTATAGTCAATAAGTATAATCGGTCTAGTAGTGTTTAAATTATAAGTATAGTATGATTTTTTAGGAATTGGCTATATGTTGAATTTTAACTACTGATTTAGTATAATCTCTAACTTAATACATGCATTAAAGATATCTAGCAATTGTGAGATAGCTATTGTAAGCAAGTGTTTTAAAATTTTATTAGAAATGCCTAGAGGGCCTTTGGCCTTTTTTTTAGGTGATGCATTAATTGTTGATATAATCTCTTGTATAGTGAAAGGTAAGAGCATAGAGTTGTAAATTGAGAAGTTAATATGTTTTAGCGGATTGTAGTAGGATTGCTATTCATCTCAGAGTGTATTATCAGAAGAGTTATATTTTGTCCACTATGCAAAGTGTGATTGTGTTTCTGCTAGTATCTGTTCTCTTTCTATAATTATCTTGTCAGAGAATATAATTTTTTCGAAGTTTATATGTGGTTTATGTCATTGCAGAATACTGTTTATCATTCAACTAGTATTATTTTTAAAGTCTGTGTATTTCCTTTCAGTATAGAATTTTATTCTTTCTGATTGCTCTAAGTTTTTTTCAATATTGCAACTCTTTCAGATAGTGTTTTTTAACTATTTGAGGTCTTGTAGTGTTTTAGTATAAATTGTGAATGTAGTATTAGGAATAGATATAGCTGAGAATGTCTCTGATGATAAGGGCTCAATTTCTATCTCAGCTAAGGTCGCAGCTTTTCTTAGATATTTGTTTAGAGTTTGAATATCTGGTGGTAGAAAAGGAGTTTTGATATTTGCGATGTAGTATAAATATTTTTTGATATTTTTTTAGAGCTGAATGAAGTTTGGTTGCTTTTAATGATAAAGCGTTAAAGGCTTTAGATAATTTGTAAGTACATGGGATATGTTTGTTAATTACCTTTTTGATTATAGCTAACCATGTATGCCATCATTTGTTTAGTATTGTTTTGTTTGTGATAGAGATATAATTTGATTGTATTAGTATTTCATTTTGAACTATTTCTGTAAATTGTTCTCAATTTTCATTGTTCATTTTCTTATAGAGAAGGATTTTCCTTTTTTTTTTTTGTTTCTAGGGTTTGAGCAAGTGAAATTTGTGTGCCAAGTAGTAAATAAGATAGTATGATCACTATTAGTGATATCAGTTGCTTCTATTATAGTTGGTATATCAAACTTCTGCAGTAGGTCAGTTGATACCCATATATCATCAATATTACTATAGCTATTTTCACGTTTCTAAGTTGGAGTTGTAATATTGAATAAGTTTATAAGGCTTAAGTGATAACTTGCAGTGAGGTCTGAAAAGATGATAATATTTCTGTCTTTTCTTGATTCGTTTGTATTAAAATCACCTAGTACTATACTATTCCAGTTTTTGTTTTTTGCTTCTATGATCCATAAGGCTATTTGCCTCTGAGTTCATTTAAATAGATCTGCATGGTCATTAGATAAGTATACTGAGATAAGACGTATTTTGTTGTTTCTAGGGAAGAAGAAGTCAATGCAGATAGCTGTTTTCAAATAAGTTATAATATTGTATATATACATTTGTAACTTATTATGTACTATAATTGCTATGCCTAGAGATGCTTCTCATTATTTAGAATGTACTAGAATATAGTTTGAAGTATAAAACTTGTATAGTAGGTTAGTAAATATGATTTCGTTGATATTTTTGAGTTTAGTTTCAGTAAGAGAAATTATATGAAAGTTCTGTTTGTGGCAGTATATAATCTATTCTTGTAGTTTTAGAGTATTGTTGAGTCCTTTTATATTGTGTGTAATTATGTTTATCTTTTCTTTGATGTTAATATTAGATATAGATATTGTATTCATGAGTGGAAGTATATTGTTCATTATGTTTGTAGACATGATTAATTGTATTGCATATCTACTTCTGCTTCTGAAGAACCTGATAGGGTTGGTGGTGTATTGATAGGTAGATCTGTAAAGATATCCCAATCTGGAGAAGGTAAGTCAGGAAGTTCAAAGATATAATTAGAAAAGTAGCTAATATTAAAATGCTCTTTAATTCTTCTTAGAGTATTTGGTATATCTTGGTGTTTCGTAATAGGTATGTGAATATCTTTTATATCTCTTTTTTCTATTATAGTTTGTAGTTCCTTAAGTTTTGAAGGTAAGTCTCTGGAGTTTGTATCAAGTTCTTTTGTAGGAATATTTATCCATTCTTGTAGTATACTATGGAAGAAGTAATGTTCCCTTAATACTCTTGCAGCAATTGTGAGCTCTTTAGGAGATGAGATTAGCAATATAAGATTAATTGCAGTTACATCCTTTGAGTCACTTGGTAACTCAAGAAGTTCAGTATAGTTACATTCACAGTAATTTTTCAGTAGTGGCATTGAAATTTTGTATGTTGGAGGTAATATTTCTAGAAGTGTAATACTGTTTCTTTATCTTTCATTGGGAATGTGAATTCTGTTTCTAGCTTCAAATTAGTAGGCTCCAATGATAAATACCTAGGTTAGATAAGATAGTTATTAGAGAGTCTAGTAAATGCAAAATTCTGTCATAACATATGTATATGTTGTTTAAAATCCTCTGAGTTCTTTGGAAGAAATGAGAAAAAATTATGGAGTCTATGTAGTAGTTTCTGAAGTGTAAGTGGAAATGCTGATTTTGCAGCTGACAGGTCGAAGTAATCAGCAAGTATTTTTCGGAATGTATAATATTCTCTTAATTTATCTTGATAGGTAGACAAGTTTTTTAGATCAGCTCTTCGAGTGATTGGGAACATATCTCTTACTACTTCATTTAGTAAGTGTGGGTATTCTGGTAAAGTGAGTCTGTTATCTTCAATATAAGATTCAAGTATTAGTTTAAATATAAATAACTTTCACAATACTCTAGATACTGGTGCTAATAAAGCTCTGTTAGTGATTGGCAAATTAAATAGGATCACTTTTTTTAGTGATTCTGATATTTGTTCTGGATTGCTAAGCAGAGGAATACGAGCTTGTTTTATTGCACTAGAGACTATTTTCCTAAGTGTATCAAAATCTATTTTGCCTTCAAGAGAAATTTTTGTGAAGGTAGATAGGTAACGTATGTATCATGTAATTTCCTAAATATCCATTATATTGAAGTCTAATATTGTTAGATAATCTAAAGCTAGCTTGGCTCTTAATTTCTCAAATATCTGATCTCGGTTGTTTTTATTTGTTTGGAGTATATTATGTTGTTTTTTGTATAACTCAAGTGCTTTGTTGAATAGTGAATTGAATTCTACTTGGTGTTGAGATCTATTAGCTAGAGCATATGTAAAGGTTCTGAAGAATGCTGTATTCTTATGGTAGAGTTTTGCCTTGATAGCTTCTGGAATATAAGTTTAGTTAGGTAGAGTATTTAATTTGTATACTACAAATTCTTTTAAGGCTTCTAATAATATTAGTGCTTTGATAATTTTGGTTCGGTTCTATATAGTTGTATCAAATGGTGAAAAATTTTCTTCTCTCTATTCTGCTAAGGATATTTCAATTTGGTCTTTCTATTCTTGTTCTTTGTCATCTATTAGTCTTCACCTGATATTGTCTCTATTGTGTTGATTAGAGTTGTTAGGAGTATCACCTATTAGTGCTAGCTATATGTTTGGATCTGTGCTTTATCTCCTTGTACTGTATCAACTAATTCAGTTTCTGTATTTTCTATTTGAGCCTTTTGCATATAGTCATGAGAACTAGCTTGGGTACTAAGATCCTCAGAATAGGCATGTGAATTTTTGTTTGTTCTATTTCCATATCAGATAATAGTGTTGTTGTTGTGATCGTTGTTGTTATTGTATTGGTTACTGATAACATCATAGTTGAGTTTGGTAGAGGTAAGCTAGAATCTCTAACAATATTGATATTGTTGATGAGTTTTATCGAGGTTTGAGTAATAGATTCATCTTGTAGTTCAGTTTTTCTTTTTTTGCTCTTTATACTAGTAGCACTCATATTTGTATGCTGTCTGTTAATGTTTGGAGTATTTGAGTTAGGTGACTGTTGTTTGTTTTCTACTTTTTTGGGTATTACTGACTTTGTCGACAACAGCTTTTGGGAAGGAGTTTGTGTTTGAGAAGTTGTTTCTCAACTTCTCTTAATTTTTTCTCTAAAGTAACTGGAGGAGATATATGTAGTTATGTAGTTAATTAATAGTTAGTATAGTGTGCGCAAGCAAAATATTTTTCTTTTTCCCTGTTTTTGAATTTTGTTATAATTTTAAGGAGTACAGGAAAGAGTTTTTTACTATTATTAGTATTTATTGTTAATATAGCTAAGAATAGAATCATAGTATATTTTCTATAGGAGTAGAGAAAAGGTTTCTCTTTATTCAATATCTGAGTGACAGGTAATAGAATTAGTGGTCTATATGCAGTAATTGTTTTAGCTTTCTTATCTTTGTATAAAAATTGAATGAAATTGAGAGTATTTTGAAGGATGCTTATTCTTTTGCAAGTATTAATGAAACTTTTGATATTAATTTTGTTAAAGGCTTTAAACATATTTTGGAATAGAATCTATACTTCTTTGTTATTTATTTTATAGTATTCGATAAAGTTTAAAAGGATTTGAATTAGTATATATATTGAAGTATTTTTTGTTGTTGCAAAATTTAGATCACTTAAAAGGTAATATTTGTTTATTATTTTGTCTAGTCAAGTAGTAAAGATTTTTTTATTTATTTATTTATTTATTTATTTTCAATAAGCTGTCTGCAAATTTTTATTAAATTATTATTTTTAAGTTATATTTGTTAGTGAGAATATAATTAACTATACATACAACTTTAGTCATTGTCTATTTATAGATTTCACTATATAGGTTACTTACTAATTGCTATATTTAGTATTTGCCTGTAGATACTCTATTTAAACCCTTTGGCATCACTATAAAACTCTATTCTTAACCTAATATTTTTATATCTATGCTAATCTTGTACTGCTATATTTCTGAGAACTACTCAGACTAATTTGTGTCTTAAATTGTCTTCATAGAACTGAGCTCTATTACAAGGTATTCAACAAGACAACTATGCATTCTATTCTGGTAAAGTCTTGCAGATAATTTCAACTATACTGTATTATATCCTAATTAAGCTAGCATATACCCTTATTGGTGTTTATATAAACCAGTTTCTTCTGTAGCTCTCCATCAAATTAGTCTAGTTCTTCTAAATATTTTATAAGATAGATTTTCTCAAATTCAGTTAGCTACTAAGCCAAGTTAGTATTGCTATTTATATAACATTATATCATACTTAATTTTCTATTATACTATGGACTTACTCGCATCTACTCAGTCTGCATCCTTCATATTTAAACTTCCTTCAAATCAAGCATCAAGTTGGTTTGACTATTGAAATTTGTACTATCTTATCTAACTTGAGATTTCTACTATACAGGTCTCCTACTCATAGATCTTATTAAGATTTATTTGTATAATATTATATTATACTTGACTTTTCTATTATACTTTCAATATCTGATTAATATTAGTACAACATGATTTATAGGATTACTATTTCAGAAATGAACAGAGTTTACTATAAGTTGAATACAAAGATCTGAGAAATTATTCAAATTTGTTGACAGTGGAATTTGAACTCTAGACCTCTTATATAGTAGTCTAGCAACCTAACTACTATATTAAGATCACTAGATCTTGTGGTAAAGATTTTAGTTAAGCATTTTTTTATTAGTTTAATTAAAGAAATTAGTTAGACTTGATCAAAAGTAAAATCCCAGGAGGATTTTTTTGAAATAAAAAAAGATTTGATATTTTTTATTTTGTCAGAGTACTTTGTAGTAGGAAGTATTTTAAGAGGAAAAGACAGATGATATTTTGACCTTTGGAGTTAAGCATTTTAATGTGTTTATAATTTGTTTTAAATGGTCATGTAGCTTTGTTGTTTGGAAGTTCTTTTAGTATTGTTATCTATTCTTTAGGTATAATTTCAGAAAGGAGATTGTGAAAGAGGTGTTTATTTTCAGAATAAGATTTATAAAGCTCAAAAAAAGGTGAGTTTGGATCTATTGAAGAGTAAAGAAGTTCTTGAAAGTATTTAGAGAAGTATTTGTTAAGAGCTGTTTTAACTTCTAATAGTTAAGTAGTTAGATTATTGTTAGATAGAAGATGATCTAATTTAATACTATTATTAGATTTTTTAAGAGTTTTGCAAAAGAAGAGTTTTGGATTTTGAGTAAAGTTATTATTTCTTTCATTGAGTTTGTTTTGAATTTCTAGAAAGGTTTAGTATTTTTTTTCTTTTTGAATATAGATTTTTAGATTTTTGATTTTACTTTTAAGAAGTATTGGAATAGTATTTGAATTAGGTTTACTTCTAGAAAGAGTTAATATGATTTAGGAAGAAGAGTATTATATAAATATTTTTTAATATAAAAATTATAAAGTGAAGTAATATCTGAGTTTATAAAAAGATTTTTAATTGTAATAATATTTTTTAGTTGTTTATAAAGAGGTAATAGAATAGGTTTTGAGTAGTCAATTAGATCTAAATTTGTTTTAATTTTTTTGTATAGTATATATTTTAGAGCTGCTTTATTAATTCATTTTTTAATCTAATACTATGTATTGTTTAGATTATTAGTATTTGAAATTTTGTTTATAGAAGTAGAAGATTGATAAGGTTTTGTTCTGTATGTTGTTTATATTTTTCAATTTGTATTAGTTGAATATAGTTCTATTTGTAGATAGTTCTTATATAGAGGTTTAGTATTAACGATATATTGATAATAATTGTTGTTTTAAGAGAGATAGTTGAGTAATCTGAGTTTGAGAATAGGTTTAGAAAGATATCTGCATAATCAAGAAGAGTTATATGAATATTTGTTCATATCTGGTCAATCTTACTAGTGCTGTTGTTGTGTGAATAAGTAAATTTTAGAGTAGTAGAATAAAATAGTTAAAAAGTGTCATAGAAGTTATGATGTTTAAGAATTTGAAGAAGTTGTTTTCAAGAGTGCTATATTTTTTAGT